GACAGCACAGCTACATGCCAAAATTGTGAAACAGGAATGCCACGTGTGACTTAAGAGGAAATAGCAGCACCATAATCTGGTGCTGCACATACAATAACATGTACAATAAAATACTTTACTAATCATGCATAAAAATTCTTACTGCTTCCTTCCCAGGTTCAGTCAGCTGGAAGGTCAGAAATGATAGCACATCATGGTCATCTGTATTCAACAAACAAACAAAAAAACCCACCTTACAAATGCCTCTAATTCCCAAGATAACCCTCCACTTGCAAAGGATCTTCAAAAAACAGCATCCTCACAAGAGTTTGTGTAGTGGGGAATGAAACTATACAGGGTTTTTGTCAGGAAAAAATGAAAATTCTTTAGCTGGAGCCAGGAAAAGCCCAAAGCAGGTCAGTAATTTGGGACTGCAAGAGGGCTAATTACACCATCATGGTTAAAAATTGGTATAATGCATCAACACTAGTAGTAAAAACCCAACCACCCAACCAACCTTTCTTGCAAGCCTTGCAAGTCCCCACAGCGTTTGCCATAATTTTTAACAGTTTCTACCTGCAAGTCCCCCTGTGGCTGCAGATATTCCAAAATACCCTTGTGATGGCAACACCATATCTTCTACTTTGGCACAAAATTCATAGTCCTCTTTATCCGGAGTAAAGCCATTATTAATTAATACCTAAAAGGACAAAACACTTATGATTTTCACCACATTTGTGTTAATTGTTTTGTCAGTTTGCAGTAATGCTCACAAAATACAACTTTTTTGGGAAACTCGGTAGCTCATACTGGAAACCAAAAACTATTTCTTTTCTGAAAGGGACAATTTACCAATATTTTACATAAGCATTCTATTTGCAAAAGTCCACATCCTAAGGTTCTGGGCAACACAGAACTGATCTACACCAGTCATGCCTTGCAGTTCTGATTCAAAGCTTGAGGAGATTCTGCAAATGCATCCCTGGAGAAAGAGAGAACTGTTATGTTTAGCCGCAACATCTGGGACAGAGGAGTTCCTAGAGGAAGCATCATGGCTCAGGTGAGAACAGAGCAGCCTTGGAGGCTGAAGCTTAACTTTCATTCCAGTGACAGGCAGCTCTTCCCATTACAACACAGTACAAGGTCTGCTCTCTTCCAGGTGCAGTCATGTTTACTTTTACAGAAACTTCTGCTACGAAATGACAGCCCTGCACTTAATGGCTGCTACCTGTGAATATATGAACAGCGCCTTTCCAGAAGGGATCAGACGCCAAAACAAACACACACTCTGCAGCTTTCACAACCCAGCACCACATTAGTAGTTTTCTCTCCTTACCTAGAAGGAATTCACAATCAGCTAGTGTTTAGAGAAGCCTTAAAGACCCCCGTATACCAACGGGGTTTAGTCTTGAAAGCCCTACTATTCTTTGGAGGTGAGAAGCCTCCAGTAGAAAATTTAAATCTGCTGTTGAATAGTTGTAGGGTTTTAGCCACATTTCAAGAATCTCTGGTTCAAATATCAGCTACAAAACCCTCTGGAACTCTCAGGTTAGCTTAAGAAATACCAAGCTCAGGAGCAGCTCGATCACCTGTAGCTTAAAGAGATCCTGACTTTGGGACACCTCTCCAGGGAGGTCCAAAGCAACAGAAGGGTTTGAGCACATCACGAGTGTGTCTGCACAACTGCCTCCTAAGTCACATGAGAAAAATCAGCAATATCTGCATTCTAATCTAACCAGAAGAGCCTGTGCAGCATTTAAACAGAGCACGTCCTTCCAACCTCTGCTGCCAAGCTCCACATTTCCAACACTGGAACTGACATATTTGTTGCAGCTCTGTGAAAACCCAGTCTCACATTGAAGAAGCTGAGAAAAACAAGTAATTCTGTCATTTCAGACTTACAGTCAGTGTTTTTTGGTAGTAGGTGATCTTGACTCGCACAGGATAGGGCTTGTTCCGAAAGTCCCTCTGACAGGATGCCAGTGCTTGCGTGGATCCATCGCTGTACAAAAAGAGAACACCAGTAAAACTCTGTGTTATGATTAATCAGCTGGGACAAAAAAGTGTGACTCTCACTGAACAACCTCAACTCGTTTTTTCAAGCTGCAAGCTTTTCCAGGCTGTTCTGTAATTGCACGGAGCTTTCTGCAGGGATCTCCAGTACTGCGTGCTGTACACAGGACACAATGCAGAGGGAAAGAGGGAATGCAGCAATGGGGAAATCTGTTTTCTGAGATACATTCAAAGATACAATTTTCAGATATATTCCTGCACCCGGGAACCTAGATGGAAATAAGCTGTAGTGACTGCACCAACTGAGCCAGACACCTCTCCTCTCCAAGATCCAAAACGCTGTCCATTGTGCTGCTGATAAAAGATTAGAAATCAAAAGTAATACAACGAATTTAACAGCAATTTGCTTTCAGTTAGTCACTTCTGCCAATTATCAGCTGTGTGTGGAGGACCCCCATAAGCAATAGTCTGTACTGTACCTGTACCCATCTGAGTTCATCCATCCCAAAGGGCATGTGCCAATAAAATATCCATCAGTTGCCAATTTCTCTGCTGTTACTGCCAAAGCAGTGTTTTAACAAATAAAACCCCTCAAATGTAAAGGAAACAACAAAGTTTCATAGGAAAGAAGCCTTTATAATGCTTCTCAAAGTGTTTAATGGAATATTTCATCATTCAAAAGCAAGCATTCAGCAATAACACCAAAAATAAACTTACTTCTGATGGTCATACAGCAGCTTTCCATTGTTGCCTACAACAATCACTCCAGGATTGTTTTTCTAGGGAAAGAAATGGCACACAAATGGATTAGTTTAATTTGAATATCAGCAACATAGCTGAAAGCCTTCTGCTAAAATCAGTGTAAAATGTCTAAAAGCAAGCCAAAGTTGTGCAGGGAAAGCAAAAGCACCGAAGCAGACCTACTATGTATTGTTTAAGTTTCAGGATCATTCTGGACTGGAAACTGAGAACTGAAAACAGTAACCGTCATCCTCATCTGCTACAAAATCTTTGCTGCTGAGCTGCCCAAAGCAGATTTCTTCCAAGAAAAAGGGCATCTCTGAAGACACTCATGGAAATGGGTGTTTCCAGTGTAAGGGAAACTTGACTATTTTATTTTATCCCTTTGAAGTGAAAGAGGGAAAGAGTAAGCAAACACCGTCCTAGTTTCTTCCTCAACAGGCAGGAAATTAATTTGTCATCTTTGCTGCAAGAGTTTCCTTCCAACCAACCTTCCCATCATTGTCAAATGAATCAAAGAAAATTCCAACACCATTCCATTTATCAGCTGCCCCGAAAACAGGACCTTCCAAGCCTTTCTCTTCTGTAAACCAGATAGCCTGTGAAGAAAGCAAAAAGCCGTAAGTCAAGATTCACTTTTAAAGCACATTTGTTTTTCTCAGCTAGATGAAACTGCTCCTACCAATCCATCAGCTCCAATGCGGCCTCTTCCTGTAACTCGAAAGGTCACTTCCACTTCCCAGTATTCAAATATTGATTTGTTTTTTGTCCACACTGAGCCCTTCTGGCTTTTCAAGGAGGTTGTTATGCGGATCTGGTCTGCACTTGGGATGGCATCTAGAAAGAAAACAAGATATTCTAACATTCTGTTTAGCAGTATAAAAGAACAATAGGCATACATTCAGAGAAATTCATTTGCTTGCATTAAATAACATTACTTTTAGGGATTATTTTCTTGAAAAAGAGGGGGGAAAAAACTCATCTACAGACAGTTGTCTTCATGTCACTGGTATCATAATGTCAAGTAAAAAAAGATACATTTAAGAATTAAGCAGCAGCAACTAAATTAAAGTCTGAGAAAAACTAAAACCACCGAAGTTACTGCACAGAAACTATGAGAAGATGGAACTGTAAATGTCACCGCCTTTCACAAGGGGGGACACTCAGGAAGGGCAACAAGCCTTTCGGAGCACACCGCAACCCTTAGCCCAGAGCGCACAGAAACAAACGTTGTTCAACCAAGTCCTACTGGCCAAGGCACACTTCGCACTTCGAGCTTTAAGACGGCGAAACCCAGCAGTTTGTGTGGCAGCAGGGCCCGGGCCGACCTCGAGCGCGGCAGCAGTGACACATCAGCACTTCCCGGCAGCGCCACGAGCCCCCTCCGCAGGGCCGCAGCCGCCACACCGGGAGGCCACAGGTGCCTTCGCCCCGCAGGGCAGGCGGGAGCCCGGCCGGGCCCAGGCACTTCCTCGCCACCGCAGCAGCTCCTCCTGGTGCCACGTGGAGCCCGAGAGCGCGGCCGGCACCCACGGCCAGCTTCGCCCGCGCCTTCTCGCCGCGACCCCGCGTCCCCCGACCGGACACTGCGGCCTCCACCTCAGGAACGCCACTGGCCCGGCCCCGTCACCCCCGCCCGGCACTTACTGCCCGTGTGCACCCAGAACGGCACCGTGCCGTCCGCCTGCACCAGGTGCGGCCCCTTGAAGCTGTACTTGTACTCGAAGCGCCGATGCGGCGCGGCCGCCGCGCCCTCCGTGGCCTGCGCACCGGAGAGCAGCGGGCGGCCGAGGGCGACCAGGAGCACCAGCGGGGCGAGCAGCGCCGCCATCTTGGCCGAGCTGCGGGGCAATGCACAGGGCCAGCGGGGCGGCCCCTGATTGGACGAGCGCAGGGGCGGGCGCGTGAGGGGCGGGGAGAGAGGCGGGACCGCGGCGAGGCGGGAACAGGGCCGGGAACCGGGCCGGCATGAGGGGCGGGAACCGGGCCGGGCTGAGGGCGGGGAGCGGGGCGGGAACCGGGCCGGGCTGAGGGCGGGGAGCGGGGCGGGAACCGGGGCGGGCTGAGGGCGGGGAGCGGGCCGCCGGGCGCGGTCGGTGCGTCGGCCCGATCCCGGTGCCTCCTGGTGAATTTCCGAGCTGCCCCAGGTCCGAGGGCCTGATGTGCGGGTCAGCCGCGTTCGTGCGGCCTCTCAGACAGCAGCGAGCCTCTAGCAGTGCACAGGGCGGGGACGGGGTGAGGGCGGGGAGCGGGGAGCGGGCCGGGAACCGGGCCGGGCTGAGGGCGGGGAGCGGGCCGGGAACCGGGCCGGGCTGAGGGCGGGGAGCGGGCCGCCGGGCGCGGTCGGTGCGTCGGCCCGATCCCGGTGCCTCCTGGTGAATTTCCGAGCTGCCCCAGGTCCGAGGGCCTGATGTGCGGGTCAGCCGCGTTCGTGCGGCCTCTCAGACAGCAGCGAGCCTCTAGCAGTGCACAGAATGTCTGAAAGATAGACACCCTGTTCGTTCCCCTCAAGATTACTTTCTTAGCAAAGACCGCACTTCCATGGGCTCTTCTCGGTTCATTTTCAGAGTAGTCGGAAGTCCCGCAGGAAAATCCACACTGTTTCTCCCAACATGAGAGACCAACCTTCCGCAGAGGTGAGCAAAACAAAGCTCCGGTGACAGGCAGGCCCCAGCCGTGACAGGTGACAGGGGTGACAGGTGGGGCGAGCCCCGACCCTGCCAAGATGCGAAACACGGCTGCTTGTCAGTGTGCGGTGTCACAAAGCGGGGCAGGGCTTGTCTCAGAGTTAACCAAGCACTGAACCATCAGTTAAGAGCTTCCTTTTCTACTCCCTTCATTTTCATTTAGCAGCCTTTCTTACAGCTCTATTGGAGAAGAAAATAATTATCAGGAGTCAGGGGTGGTTTTCTTTTTCAGTTTCTTTTCACCCTTGGGGTTTTTTCTACATTTTTCATACCCATTTCATTCTGACATCCCTTCTTTTTATCTGCAAGTATGAGCAATTGAAGAGTCAGTAAATAGGTTCAGAGCCTGCTAAAAAAGACGTTGACCTTGGAGGCATTTGGGAGAGATTAAGTTCTTTTTCTAAAATGGTACACTTTTCCTTCAGCACAGATAAAACATTACATTCTCACTTATTTTTCAGCTACACAAAGGAGTTAAGCAAATATATGACCACATGAAACTTGGCAAGCAAAATGTTTCTGAGATAAATTTTAGAATTTCTACATAAATATATTGAGTATTCTTGACCAGTTAACACTTGTTTCTATAGAGACAGAAGTGCTTGAAGTTTTGTTTCGTATAGTGTCTTCCATCCAACAATATCCTAAACCATCCCTGATTTATGAATCTATTTTGCTTTTTTAGAGCATATATGTGGGAGATGTCAAGTGAATTGGGAGCCACTTCTTGGCAGCTTTCTAGACACAGAAAATTCATCTGTTTTTCAGTTCTTTAAAGATCTAGAAAGTAATTTTTGAGGTAAAATTCTGGAATTACTTCAGGAGGATAAAATGGTGTGTGCATCAGAGGTCCAAACAGCAGCATGAGGCCCTCTCCTGTCTGCTTCCTCCATTTGTCAGTAACCTCTGAATTCATGCCTATGAAATACCAGAACCATGCTTAAGGAGACTAGAAACCCAAAAGCACAAGCCTTGAAATAATTCCCTCTTAACCACTCACCCACACATGTGAAAACAGGCTGAAATTTTGACACTTGCAAAGGCATTGGCATAGACACTGTCCTAGCAATTGTGCATGGAGGATTTGTAAAACCTCCTTTGAAAATGGAAACTCCTTTAAAAGTCTTCTTCCCAGGCATAGAAAGCTGCCCTCCAGTCCACTGTGACATGCAGGAAAACATCCAGAGACTCCCAAAATGATATATATTAGCAGTTTAGACTCTTCAAGGTAAGTCTCTTCAAATTGTTTTGCTACATGAGCTCACTAGAAGAAACAAAAAATGTTTCCTATTTGTAAGAACTTCTTGAATTCTGTCCTGAAAATTACATTTGAATTCAAACCCGGTAACAGGGAAATGAAGGCTCAGCAAAGAGAACAGAAAATGGCCCACTGGCCTGAAACACAATTGGATTGGCTGAGACTGCCTGCACTGGCAAGTTGATAATCTGTATCATCATAATTCTGTACAATCATAATAAATTAAATTCCTTCATTGTCTCAAATTCTGCCTGGAAGTAGTTAGTATAATTTCTCTATCATTATTCTTATAAAAATGCCTTGATATTTCCCATAGGTCTCATCAGGGAAGTCAAAACCTCTGTGAACACACAGTAACTACAAATCTCTCCTTCAGCCTCCAGAGCTCTGAGCATTTGGACACATTAACAAGCCCACACTGGAAAGGGCAGAGGAGAAAAAAGGAAAACAAATGAGGCTCCAGTGAGTGAACTCCTAAAAAGTGTGGGGAGAACCACTGCTTATGCTAATAAACTTTTGAGGTATCTTGTGTTGAACTTGAGAATTTGAGCAGAAATGCAAGAAGACCTGTCTGGTCTCCTCCCATCTCAGTGATCAATCCATGATTTTTATAAATGTCCCTGAAAGCAAGCCTTTGCACACAGGCAAAATTATTTTCTGTGTCACAATAGATGGAAATGCTGAAACAGACTGTTTTTTTTTTGTTGTTGTTGTTGTTTTGTTTTTTGGTTTTTTTTTTTTTGTTTTTTTTTTTTTTTTTTTTTTTTTTTTTTTTTTTTTTTTTTTTTTTTGCATTGGCTGTGCTTTAATATATGTGCAGTTAATTAAATGCTGTGTGGAAATCACAGAGGATTTTACTTTTGGTTTTTCCTGAGACCATGCCTTAGCATTTGAGCTTAGCACAGCTTTATAAAGCCACTCATTGAAGCCAAAGACTCCCTGTCCTTGAGTTGCCCCGGGAAACAATGGATAGGAAAAGCACTGGGCATCTTGGAGAGCATTACCTTTTCTCGTTATTTCTGTTTATCAAATCAGTGAAGAGAAAGTGGGCTTTCAGAAATTTTAAGCCATTCTTCATCAATCCAACCCGATTTAATCTCTACTCCAAGATACGTGGAAGTAACAAATTTTCTTTTTAGAATGATAAAATTATTAAGATTGGAAAAGACCTCTAAGATCATCAATCCAGCCTTTTAAAAAGCCTCTTTTTTTTTTCTTTTGACAGAAGAATTTCTTAAGATGTACCACAATTTAAAAAAGACAATTAATATATTGAGCTCTGTTTTTCTGTGCTTCATCTCCCTGTCACAGCCTTGCTGATTCTCCCTTGCTCCTCCTCCTAGGCCAGCAATCTGTGTGTGAAAGTGTATTATTTAATTTCAATTACAATGTTAATTACAGAAGACAAGTGGTTACTGAATCTTGCACCGTAATTAATCAACCTGATATTTACTTACTCCGTTGTTCACAGCGCATTAAGCTGGGTCTGGACAAGCAGGGCAAGGAAAGTGAGTGACAGAAGCATTATCATGGCACACTGCCTCCCATTGGGAAAGTTCATCTTCCTTCTGAAAGAGACGCCTTCGGGGATCATGGAATTTGAATTCCCTGTGAATTTGGTGTCATCTTAGCTTGACCAGCTCTGGAAGAACATATTAACCTCCTCTTGTGATTTTCAAAAAACCATTCTAATTTAGCAAGTAATTAAGGGTCACATGTAGGATAAAGAGCTAGATAAGCTTGGATTACGCACAGGAAGCTTTGTTTCCCAGGCAACCCGAGCAGAGGGGGTGTTAATGCTGAGGTCAGGCACTTAATGAACTGGGAATGGTTTCTGGCTGCAAAATGTATTCGAATCGGGCGAGGCGAACTAACAACTGCCTTACCATTTGATGATTTGAGGAGAGAAAACAAATGCCTAACAGGGCTACTTATCAGACAGATACTGAGGAAAGCGCTTACAGGCGGTGCCACCGCTCTGCTAAGTGAGGTCAGGAAAAGTCCAAAACAATGACGCTTGACAAGCCCGAAATACCTCAGTCAGCACTGAAGGATTTCGTGACTTCCCAGTGTGAAGGTGTCGCTGTTTGCGTCAGCTGCCGCTGCTGACACGCTCACCTTGCGCTGTGTGCTCTTTTCCTCCCGAGGTTAGTCCTGCCCGGAGGTTGCTGCCTGTGGAATCGCCCTGGGGGATTTAGCATACTGAACAGCAAGACAGCTCTTCCTAGAGCTCCGGACGCAATCCACTCCTGGGACTTTAGGCTCTGGGAGTTAATCCCCCGGGGCATTTGACAGGGCAAATCTCACGCACAAATGCCATGCACATGGATAAAATGGTCAAACAGCTCATCTGTAGCAAAATAGATGGATTTAGTAAAACACATTAACGTTTTCAAAATGGATTCTTGCACTGTTTTGTTCTGTATGCCGTAAGGAACAGCTGGGAATGAAATTGCTGTGCTTGAAGAATATTAGAGAGTACAGAAATTGGAGATGATCCATTACATACCTGCCGCTTTCTCAGTTCACTTGGACCATAGCTCTGTGAGAGAAAGAATTGCACAGGCATTTTTCAAAGCTTTCTTTAAAACAAACCAGCATTCTCTGCTTTTTGGGACAATCACAGGATATTCCGTAAGGCTGGGGTGTTCTTGTGGCAGAAACACAGGCGCCTCTAATTTTGTGCTATGCTTTTTCAAAATATGTGGATGTATAAATCAGGACAATTTTAGAAGCCCGCTGGTCCCTCTTTTTCGTCTGTGTAGCCTTGGAATAAAAGCAGGTGATTTTACATTAGGACACCTGTTTGCACAGTGGAAATTTAAACACTCTGCTGTCTCAAACAGAAACTGTAGGACTTGCAGTTAAGGGTAACTGTACTGAAGGTGAGCTGGCAAAACCGAAGCCACTCACAATATTCAAAAACAAACCAACACACAAAAAAGCCACCAACCAAAAAAACCCCAAACCAAGCTAACAAACAAACATCCAGAAGGGAATTTACCTTCTTTGCTCACAGGTAGCTAGGAAAAAAAATTAATAGCCTTAAATAAGTTAAAGGTTTCAACAGTGGCAAGGAGAATTCATGCAAAATATTAGGGGATATTTTGCTTTTCTTCCAACTGCCAAATACCTGGCGAGAGGGCCAACAAGGCTGTAGCCTCTCTACACATTATTTTTGAGGATGCCATCACAGGTTTTTTTGGTTTATTTTTTTGAGACACAATTTGATAATTATTCCTGGATCAAGGCTAAATGTTACAAATAATAGCAGGGCATAAACTAAAGGACATCGTGCCTTCCACAGCCCACTTCATAAAAAAAGGTAGATTTCAAAAGGATGCATCAATTAGGTGACTAAATCCACTAAAGGAACTGCAAAGAGCTTAACATGCTTGGGAAAATCAAATGCCTTAATCCAACTTTAGCCCACAGAAGTTTCAAGGTGGCAATTACTGGTTTGATAGTGACCAGAGTCGGGCCAATCAAGGTGCACCATCTTCACTTTCCTCTTCAGTGACAGACCCGCTTCTAACATGTCCTTCTGTGGTGCTGGATGGCTCTTTTTATTTGAATTTTATTAAAATGAACAATTGGGCCATTCATGTTTATCTCACACAGGGATGAGCTGAACAGATTGAAAACCATCTAAACCTCTTTGAACATTAGGAGTTGTCCAATTTAGAATCTCTTTAATAGAATGACCCAGAAATGAGCCACAAAAACCATGGAAGCATCCCTGCCTTTGAACTTTGGCTTCTGGAAGGCAGGCTCTGGATGAGCTGCTCATGTGATTCTCAGTACAGCTTGAAGCACGCCGTTTCTCACGGCTGCCTTTCTTCTGGTTGTGTGACAAGTCCCTGTCACTTGTCAGATGTCTCCCCCAGACTCTGAGCCTCACCTCTGCCAGACTTCTGTTATCTCCCTTGTTTTATCTCCCCTCCCTACCTTTGCTGATTTCTTTCCCCAGCACATTTCTCTGCTGACTCTGGGTCTTCCCTCAGCTCTGCCCAAGTTTCCATGTCCTTATTGTTTCTCTAAAGCCCTATATGTCCCAGTCTTAGTGGGGAGGGCAGTATAGGTCACGATCCCTAATGCATCCCTTGATGAACAGAGACCTATCCAGACAATTTCATTTTCAGTGCAAGCACATCACTGCCACTTTTCTCTATTTCTGTATGTGAGCAGGAAGGAGTTGTCAAAGGGTTTGGTAACCAAAGGAATAAGAATGGGGAAGTCCCTTTCAATTGAGTTTTACTGAAAAGAGCTCTTGGAATTACCACAAAGAAACTTGTGGAACTCAGGGGAAAATAGACACACACGCTGACACACCCACACCAAATTCTTTGCTGTCATCCCTTGTGTTTTTTGCATCCAAACTAAATTTGTAAACCAATTAAACATTACCCCATGTGAATTCTTACTGCACTAACATTTCTAGAATGACCAAAATTGAGAAAAAGCCATTTTCAGACTATGGGACAAAGCAGCAGGAAACAGGACAGGGAAAGGCAAGGGAGGGTTTTCACTTCCCAGCCTCTCCTCTGCTTGCTTGTTTGCTTGCTTGCTCCAGCTTTATGATGTCAGCAATTGATGGATACGCTGCCATCTGCCACCTCTCCTGCAGGGATAGCTGCCAAATTCCCTCTGAGATCAAAGATGAGGTTTATTTCCCCCTGATGGTAAGAGCAACAGATAAGATGGTCTGAAAATGCAATCAGGTCCCACCAGAAACAAACCAAAAATGCTCTACTCTAGCAAAGACAATGCGAATTACAAAGGTGATTTGGCACATAGCACTCCAGGAGCTTTGCAACCACTGAATTGCTCTCTGCCTCTGCAGGAAAAAGCATGGTTTACCAGTTTGCATCTTTCTTGGCTGTTTTATAGCTGGATGGCTATGGGCACCCGTTTGGAGGAACTGGTTGTATCTTTGTTCTCTAGGAAATTTCTTTCTAGCAGCCAGCAAGAGATCCCTTGTTTTCCTGACAACCAAGAGAAAATAAGTGACCATGCATTAAAATGAAAAGAATCCAGTTTAGAATGTGAATAGAGCTACAAGTTACCAAGCATAAACACAAACCAAAGAAACTCGTTGTTTGTATACTGATTGAGTTTCCTATACACAGGTAAAAAAAACGAAGTGAGGAAAGGAGAAGCCCTGCCACTTTATTGTTCATCTACATAAATAGGTAATCAAAATTGTCTTGCTGAAAAGTTCCTTGTCTTCTTGAGCTGACTGGAGGAGTTTCCACTTTCCTCTTCTCGTCCAATAGGAAACTGCTAAGCTGCTGGATCTGAAGAATTTCGAGAGTTGACTGTCGGTCCTGAGCCAGTGCCAGAGATTCTGAACCTGTCATCATAGGGCAGCCTCTTCCTGGAGCCGTAAGAGTGTTGCTTACTCGGACAAATAGCCTGAAAAAGCATCCTGTGCTTCCATGTGTGCCTAGATTAGATATAAAAAAACCCCCTCAGAAACAGCAGAAGATTGTGTTTAACACAGGGATTTGCAGTGTCATCTTCAAAAACTCACAGAATTATTATTTCTGTGTCTTGCCAGGCAACACCAGCAAAAGAGCAAGGCCTTTTTGTACTCTCCTTTAGCACTCAGAATACTCTCAGTAGCTGGGAACTACAGAATTGGTCTTGAAAACCAGGAGCTGGTATCAACCCACCTACAGAATACAAGGAAAATACAGAGTATTTAATGTTATGTTAACCCTTTTTGAGGAAATGCATTTGCATATGGCAAAGGCAGAACCTCTGGCTCCATCTGTAGTGACAGATTTAATACTCTGATGGCAGCACGTTAAATTAAAAAAAAAAAGAGAGAGAATGCCAAGGACGCTAGCCATAGTGTGGGCATTCATTTAGTGCTGGAACTGTCCCTTTCTCTCTCAAAACTCAAACCCTCATAGCTATTTAGGTTTGGGTTTTGAGGATGGTTGGTTTTGGTTTTTATGGTGTGGGGTTTTTTTCCCCCCCTAAGCCCTCATTAACTCCACTCACGCTGTCTTACTCTGTTTGCCAGTGCTTAAGTAGTGCTTTTTTTAAAAAGCAACCAATTAGCACCTCATCAGCTTCAATTAGAGGAGACAAAAGCAGTGTAAAGATAACTCAATGAGAGGGGGTGGCACAACATCATGTAATCACTTAAGACAGCGGTGAGCATTCACTGTGCTGGCTCTGCCGGGCTGGGTCTATTCACCTTTTTCTTTGCTTCTTTCTGGATGCATTTAAGACATTTTTTTTTCTTTTTTTTTTTTCCCTTTTTTTTTTTTTTCTGGGAAGCCAGGCCTCCCAGGAGTCTCAGAGTCTGTCATTCAGGGCTACCTGTTTACAGCTCAGCGACCAGAAGGACCTAAACAATCCTATATTGTACGCCCAGTGCTTCCTTAAACTTAGGCCTCTACAAAGGCATGTTTTCAGAAGCTGGGCAGAGTAAGTTAAAGGCTGGCTTTATACTCATTAAGTGTTCTGCTTGTACTGTCTTCTAATTACATGGCAGGGCAACAATGTCTTTTTTTTTGTCAATGGCGTTCTTTGGAGCAGTTAATTTGGTGCCTGTACTAAATGCCCCCAAACATTAATTAGTGTGGAAGGAACCCTAATTTCCTCGGCGGCTTTCCTCTCCATTTACTTCCCTTGTTTTCACATAGGCTTGGATGAGCCTCTATAATGAAATTACCTCATTAATGCCTTTATTCTTTCAAAGTAATTCATTCAAGATCTACCATTTAGTTTTAATTTGATGCTGTCAAAAGCAAAAGGTGCATTCATGTCTTTGATTAGTGCATTTTTTTCCTCTTTAGAGAGTGGACAGATTTAAATTATTAAGATGGCAAGTAGTGAGTTATAATTGGATACAAGCAGCACTTCAGTGAATATTAAATGCTTTCAAAGCCTGGCCTATCTGCGCTGCTGACTATTAACTGTGTCCAGTGAGTTCTTCTGTGGGCTTTGAATTAACGGCACATTAGCTACTCTGAAGCAAATGAAGTTTAATTTTGTTTATAAAAAACGTTGCAGTTGCATTTATCAACATGACATTTCCTTGTAGCAGAGCTCACTTTGCCCCATTATCCTACCCTGACCTCATTGCTTGGTTAGTCCAGATCACACGGGAGCTCATCCTGTGCTCAGTCTTACAAGGTCTGTCTGGAGACCTACCTGGGTATGGCTTGGAGGATAAGACATGGGAAACTCTAAATATTGTCACCTTAGCTGCATTTAACCACCCTGATAATTTGCTTACAGAGTAGAGGGGCACAAAGTGATTAATGGGGAATGCACAGGCATGGACTGAGCAGGGAGGACTTAACACCAAATCTTTGATCTTTTAATGT